TTAATGCATATTAATCAAGATTTTCAGGGTTCCTTTTCCTTGCTGCTCAGTTCTTGTAGTATTGCGTAAATTTTGAAAATGCAAAGAATCTTCTGTATGTCCTTTCAGTCATTATTGTTGTAATGTCTTCATACTTGGCCATTTTTATGCCAAACTTAATGATCTCTAGTTGAATTATGAGAGGTTTATGCAGTGATGCAATATGAAAGAAGTGTTAACTTATTCCTGGAAAGCTTGCTAATATATATAACCTTTAGTCTGGTTATTTTCTCAGAATGCTGGAAAACCCTTCCTGACTTTCTTCTTAGGCAGTAACTAGCAGTGGGAAGAAGTGAAAGAAGAAACTCTTCCTTCAGTGTAGTTCTTCAGCAAGAAATCTTCATGCAGCAGAGAAGCCAGAAGATTTCAGAGAGAAGAAGCCTCTCTCTATGAATTTGAATGGTGACAAAACTGCACTGAAGAGCAAATATTTTTGATTCTTTAAGATTCTAAATTGTTCTAAATGGAAAGCTTCCTCAGAGAGTATTCATGAAAAGAATAAAATGATATATTTGTCTGGGCACTGGAAAAATTGCTGTGGATAGACTGCATCAGTAAACTGCCCTTTGAGATGCAAAAGGTGCTGCTTTTAGTCATCATAAATGCAAGGTGGAAATACTGCCTAACCTGCTTAGATACATAAATTTTCAACTGAAAACTTAAATTGGATGTGAAATTATTCTGCTGTGCATGCAGAGGATATGTCATTTGAACCTCTGTGCACTTCTGTGCAGCAAAGCTGTTCTGGGAATTGCATGTCTTTGCCGTCTGTAACACACTGACAGACTTGAATTAGTTTGAAAATCAAGTGGAGGCTGTTGGTTTCAGTAATGGCTCTACCACATTTCCACTGTATAGGAAACCTGAGTTCCATTCCCTTCCTGGTCAGCAGATTGCAGTGCCCCTGTTGGTGCAAATGCTGCTGCACAGCAAAATTGCTCTGCCCAGAAGAAAGCAAGAAATAAGTTGCGGGAACTGTCCAGTTGGTTAAGGCTGCCTACAGTGACAGCATGTGGGTGAGTTGCTGTGTCACCGGTTTCCAAACTTCATTGTTTTCCTCCTGTGCACACCAAACAGTGAATGTGCGTGGGGGAGGCTATCAGCTGTCTCTGACCATGCTCTCATAGAGTATGGCCGATGCAGCCAGGTTTTATTGTGCCACCTTTCTCTCCTACCTTTGGTGAAGACAGAAATAATACTTTGTGACCTCTGCTCTGGAGAACCAGGTCTTACTCTACTACCCCATTGGTTCAAGTGTCTGATGTTTAGTAGCACTGCTAGGACCTTACCTTTTGTGTATGCTCAGATGCAAAGACATTTGTCTGAGTCTTGATTCAGATCACTCAGATATATTGTGTGTGCTCTACAGCCCCTCATTTTGGGAGCTCAGAGCAGAAGCCTTTACATAAGCTGTTTATTTTCACTCTATCTGAGATAGGCAGTTTTCCTTAGAGGCCTGTTCCCATTCACTCCAACACCCCTTTTGCTATCAAACTGGCATATAAAATACCAAGATAAAAAGCATACAGTGGAAAGAATGGCCATAATGAGTCACACTGAAGGTCCACCCAACTCAGTATCCTGTCTCAGTTAATACCTCATTAAATCTTGTGGCTTTAATTTAAACAATTTGGTGGAGCTGGGAGATAGCCAAAAGTTTGCTCCTGCCACCCTATGCATTGCCAGAGTTACAAAGCCTGGGATTGGTTGTGGGGCTCTGTCCCTTTTAAAGTGGAAAAAGTAAACAACTATGAGGATGCCTTGAAAAATACAGTAACACGTGTGCTATTTTCCACTAGTACTCTCTCAGTCTGCCACCCTTTACTTGAGCTGGATGCAACATCTGTGTATTTATTTAGTAACCCTGTATGAATTTCTCCTACATCAACTTCCCTATGTTAAAAGTGGTTTGGTATTACTGAGAAGTGGAAAAGTAGTTCTATGGGTTTTCCTGGTTACATTTGGTAAACCCACAAACTAATCACTAGGGAAAATTTGGAAAAAGACAGAAGCCAAAAGTTGTATTTAAAATACTCATTTCTGGATTGGGTGGTGGTTCTGTAAGTTTCAAGTACACTTTTGTTGTCTGTTCAATAACCACTGTGTTGACAATATACAGCAGCTAGGTCTCTGGAGTGGTTGGTTTGGCATCTCTTTTGACTGTTAAAAGTGGAGTACTATAATATTATTTTCTTTCAAGTAAATTGAGCATTGGAATCCTCTTTATCTGGTTGCTTAAGCTCTGGTTTTATAATTTTAATTTTGTTTTCTGTTAATAGGTCCATTTTGGCCTACTAAACATTTATTTTGGTTTATACTTAAAATGAAGTTCTTAAGTTCTCAAGTACATTTGTTGAAAATTAAATAGAGGATTTTCACAAATGGAAAAGATGATCTGTCAAGGGAATACAGTTTGGTTCTGTGAGTCAGATAAGCTTGTTTTGACAATTATTTTACTGATTCCTTTTAAGAAGTATAAGTTGGACAGTGGTTTTCACCAAAAGAAATCTTGATGTGATGTGATGTTTTTCAACATTACAGATGTGCACTGCAGGCTGCTGGAGCATTCCTGATGCCTCTCTGTACCCCAGGACAGCCAGCAAATGCTGCTTTCACATGTCCCTCTCCCACAGTGCAGTATTAGTGTTTCTGTGGAGCGGCTCCTTCCCCAGAGTTTCTTTGCAGGCCCTTGCTTTCCCCTTCCCCTTCTGAGCATCTGCCTCTTTCCTGCAGCTTCTCTCATTCCTGCAGATCAGGGAGGCTCATCCCTGCAGATACCTGTGGGTAGGTGCTTGCTGAAGGATGAGCAGAGATGAAGGGGCACAGTGCAGTTGAAGGAAGGCATTTGTGGTTTCTGCAGGGCTGGTGACAGGAGAGCAGTGCCAGTGAGTAGGATCCCAGTGTCTGCACCTGACCTGAAATATCTGTGCTCATGACACAGAGCACATTCAGTTCACATTCAAGGCAGTGTGTTCTTAAAATATATTTTTTAAAAATTTAGTGTGCTGTTTTAATTTCATTAAAAAGTTACAGCATTTATAGTAGCTGGCCCTGTACTCACTTTTTAGTGAAGACTGATAGCAGTGAAGTCACCAAGTTACCTGTTTTCTATTTTCCTTTCACATAAATTCCGTGGGTGTTATGTAAGTAGCTGTTTAGACAATCACAGAGGTGACAAACAGCAAAACTTGGTTCATGTTCTATTTTGTAATTAGTTAATGTGCTATTTTGTTAAATTTTCTTTTGCAAAAGTATTCCTTATAAATTGGTTTCTTGGATTTTTTTCGGTTGTTGGTGGGAAGAATCAAAAGGATTTTAGAGTTTTTTAGGATCAGCTGTGTGCTTTTTTATATGTATATCAGCTCTACTGTAGTTTATCTAGGGTTTTTTTCAGTTATAGGCTAACATTTTTCTGATATTCTAAAAACATGCAGTTGTCCTTCAGTCACCTGCAACTTCCCACATAGATTTGATTTCACGTGTTATTCTTTGATATTGCTCAATTTGGGCTCATGAGGCACATGTTTTACCCTACAGTAAAACCTGGCCGTGGAAAAGGCTGTAAGGGATTTTAGAATGATCAATTGTACAAACCACCACCAAACCAAATAATCTACGTAAATTGCCTAACTCGACTGTGGTAATATTCTTTTATGTATTACAAGCCTAATACTTGTACACAGCTTCATAGTGTAAAATAGATCCTTTTTCAAACAGCTAGAATAAAAACCTGCCACTTAATCTGTTTGAATGAAGGTGGTATCCCTTCATTCAATCAGATTGTGTGGCACACGCAGTGTTTGTGTAGCAGAACTGGAAAAGTTCTGGGTCTTATGTCCTATCCCATAGACTCCAAGGTGTGTCTGATTTCTTACCCATTCTGACACAAGGTAATATGAATAACAAAATATGGCTCTACCTTGCAATTATCTGTAATCTGAAGGAGAGATTTAATAACAGAATAATTATGCTTTAATAATTATGGTCTTGCTTTATTAACTTTAGGGAATTACATTAGGTGGGAGTAGAATTTCCTAGAAGTTGACTGCTCTGCAGTGAAATGAATTCATCCTGAAAATTGCGTTTTACATTGAAGGATGAGATGAGAGAATACAAAAGAGATTCTGTAGACTTTCTTTTGCAGTCTTGAAATTAATGGATCTCTAATACAGTGCTCCAAAAATGTATATTTACCAGTACGATATCTTTTTTTTTCATTAAGCATAATGAGTGAATCTTTCTGAATTAAAATAAATGAGTCAAATAATATTTTTAACAGCAATATGAGACTTAAATTACATGTTTGCTTAACATGGGGTTCTGTTTCATAAACCATGATAGCAAAGGAGGCATAAACAGAGGAAAAAAATCAAAAGTTGAAGTTGTATGTAATCTTGGATGTTTCAATACACTGTCTGCAGGGCTTGGCTTTGCTGGGGAAGGGCTGGGGCTTGCTGAGACTCTGGCTGCTAGTGTCAGTCTCAGTCCTGGGGCAGAGGAGTGGGCATTGTCCCAGACTCCCTAAAGCAGCCAGGTGTGGGGCTGAGACTGAAGTAGCACCTGCCCACCAGTAATACATAAACACTTGCCATATTTTGGATCTTTTGGTAATGTCTTTTGGTAATGGCTACAGAGTGGGATAGTGGGATAGTGTTCGGACAAGTGTGACTAGGAATGTAACCTACTTGGGAATGTGCCTAGCAGGAGAAGTGTATAAATGCACCTTGGTGAGAACTGAGCTTCCACAAAAAGGCTGGTGAGTGTTGTTGAGTTTAGAATCTCAATTTTGGGCTTACGTGACTGACACTTTTTGAGTCAATGGTTCATTGAGGAGTGGCCATATCTTGTCTTACAGATTTGATTCAGACATGTTCCTTAGACGTGGTTTCTAAACTGCAGAAGCTTGGAATTTTTTTGCAATATAATAACACTGTGTTTTCTTTTCACTTTTCCCCATCTAGTTTTGTATCAAGACCCTGAGAATAAAATACACATGGCACAGATTGTAACATTTTTTCAGATGCTGTTAGCGCTGCTACTTCATGATTATATCTCAGCTGAAGATGGTGAAACGAGAGCAAGTAAGTCTTAATTTTTGCATTTCAGATAAGTGCAATTTCAAAGCATGCGTCGAAATTTTAGTGTCCATTTTGGTGTTCACATGTACCCTTCTGTTAATGGTTATTTTATTCCAATATAATTTTCCTGGTGAAAATCTGATAATATAAAAATAAAATACAAATAGCTTAAATATCTTATTTCTTCATTAGGAAGGGAATGTATTTACTTATGTCTTGGAAATGCCCACAGTGACAGATAGAACTGTAAAGCTCCAGTCTTGATTTAAAATTGAGTCTTGAGTATTTGTATTTCCATTGCTTCAGAAGTCATGTTCTGAATAGCTTAGTGTTATGTGAGAAACTAAATAAGGAAGAATAAAGGTTCTGTGAGAGGATACTAACTCCAGTTCTGGGACATACCTTCTTGCACATTCTTCAAAATTAGCATCTCAAACCCCATCAAACCATTTTAATACTCTAAATCTTCTTTATGGAAGAGAAAACATTAAAGCAAAGTAGCTTTCCTAAAGACAAAGTGACTCAATAAAAAGTGTAGAGGACTTGTCTCTAGCTGCAGTGATACTTCCAGGGTAGATAATTTCCCTCTAGTTTTGCTCCCAATCCAGCAATTTTCAGTATTTTAGAACAAACCCCATAAAATTCCTTTTGGTGTTTAGAGAGACTATTTTTTTTCAGCCTACCTGCTCTAGGAGTATCCATCAAAATGAATACTCTGCTTTTAGCAGTGTCTAATGATAATGAGTGCCTCCCACCTGCAATTACTCTGATTCATATCCCTGGACCACTGAGCGATGTGCTCAGCGTGCCCTTTGCTCCTTCTCCCAGTGTCTTTTCTCTTCACCACCACCTGCATTGCAAAAGCATTTCTCCAGCAGATTGTGGTCACTTGCTTTCAAGGAAGGTAAAATCTTGTCTTGATCAGAAGTGTCCATAGGCAGATTTCAGGGTAGGGCAAAGCTCTCCTCCCTGTGGTGGAGCTGCAGACTTTCAGAAAACAAAAGGACAGTAAGCCTCATGGTCTCATGTGCCGTGAGATCAAACAATCCCTCCTGCTTTTGGCCATGTCCTTGGCACCTCATGTGTCAGTCACCAAAACCTCTTTCACAGTCAATGCAAGGTGATTCCCTCCTTTAGTAAGTTACACCTCCATCTGAGAATGGGCATATAGCATGGAAGGACTTTCCTATGAAAATGCTTGTGTCTCTCCATGGCCTGTAGATGGCAAATTCATGACTACAGCTAGGAGAGCTGAATCCATGCCTAAGTCATCATGCAGTTACACTGTAGTTATTAAATGCTTATGTGATTTTATATTCTGGAGGTTGAGCTCATTCACTGAACACTTTTGTTCTGTAAAAATCAGAATATGCTACCAGCCATATTCAATTGAGACTCAGGATTTTATAATACTAGTTCTGTAAATGCCATGTAGCAATGTACAAAGTCAATTAAAAGGTATTTGTAAAAGTTTTATGGAGTATTCAGGCTATAGCCTTCCTCTGCAGTATGCTTGATTTGCTAACAAAAAGGAGTTTTTATGTTTATCATCTCTGCAGATGAGATATGAAAAGACCCAATATATATTCCTCTCTGTTTATTGAATAGAATGCAATTGCCAGCTAAAGAACTGAATTCCAGAATTTTTCATAGTTCCTGGTGCTAATGTAAAAAACAGAAAAATGATGTGGCTTTCAGGTATCAAGTTGGATCTGCGTAACTTACACAAACAATCTTACACAAGTTTGCCCTGATGAACTCTGCTATTTTTTTTTTTTCATCTAGAATGCATACGTCAGTATAGATCCTAATATAAACACTAATTGATAAGAAATTTCTGAGGAAAGAAAGTGAAAGTGTTCATTAAAATATTTGAGTTCTTTTTTTTTTCAGGTTGCCGAACTGCTCCGGCAGATTTAGTTTTTATCTTGGACGGCTCTTACAGTGTTGGCCCAGAAAACTTTGAAATAATCAAAAGTTGGCTTGTCAATATTACAAGAAATTTTGACATAGGGCCAAAGTTTATTCAAGTTGGAGTTGTGCAGTACAGTGATTACCCTGTACTTGAAATTCCCCTTGGAACTCATGAATCCACTGAGAACCTCATCAGGGAAATGGAGTCCATACATTATCTGGGAGGAAATACAAGAACAGGAAGAGCTATTCAGTTTGCCTTTGACCATCTTTTTGCAAAATCTTCACGATTTTTAACAAAAATAGCAGTGGTTCTCACTGATGGAAAGTCCCAAGACGAAGTCAAAGATGTAGCAGCAGAAGCAAGGAAAAATAAGATCACTTTGTTTGCAATTGGTGTTGGCTCAGAGATTGAGGAGGATGAACTTAAAGCTATTGCCAATAAACCTTCATCAACTTATGTGTTTTATGTTGAAGACTATATTGCAATATCAAGAATTAAAGAAGTTATAAAACAGAAACTCTGTGAAGGTGAGTATAAAATATTTAGGTGTGAAAGATGTAGTTCTGTACATATATTTTCAAATTTCACAAGCAGAATGCATGATTAAGGTAACCTAAGGGACCTGATGCTCTTTACTGTGATCTTCTTTCTTTTTGATCTTGTTTGTGGAAATTCTTCCCAAAATGTTATTTTCTCTGTCGAACAAAGAGGTATATTTGGTAAAGGTATGGTGGTTTAACACAGTATGTGTTTAATTTCAATATGTATACTTTTACCCTAAGCCCAAATTTCTTTTCATTGATGAAGTTTAAAAACACTAAAATATTTCAGCAATTCTCATAGTGAAAGAATATAGAGTTTACTTTATTGATTTCCTAGTTGCAACTGATATTCACGCACAATCCAGCATTTCTTCTAGGGAGGTGAGAGGACAGCCTGGCATTACAACAGGAGATCTTCTGAATACCTACTTCTAGTAGGTATTGAAACCTAGAAGAAAGACTCCTGGCAAAAATCATAGAATCATGGAGTGGTTTGGATTCTAGGGGACCTTCAAGATCATCTGGTTCCAACCCCCCTGCCATGGGCAGGGACACCTTTCAGCAGATCAGGTTGCTTTGAGCCCTATCCAGCCTGGCCTTGAACACTTCCAGGGATGAGGCATCCAACTTCTCTGGGCAACCTGTTCCAATGCATTAACACCCTGACTGTAAAGAATTTATTCCTAATATCTAATCCAAACCTACCCTCCTTCGGTTTAAAGCCATTCCCTTTTGTCCCGTCACTACATGCCCTTCTGAAAAGCCCTTCTCCAGGTGTCTTCTAAGGCTCCTCTAGGTACTTGGAAGGATGCCCTAAGGTCTCCCCACACCCTTGTCTTCTCCTGGCTGAACAACCCCAGCTTTCTCAGCCTTTTTCCACAGGAGAGAGGCTCCAGCTTTCACTTTAACTTTGTGGCTTCCTCTGGACTTGCTCCAGCAGGTCCACATCCTTCTTATGTTGTGGCCCCAGAGCTGGACACAGCACTCCAGGTAGGGGCTTATGAGAGTGGCATAGATGTCTGGAGTTATAGCAAGCAGTTATGATGTTTTTTAGCAGAATTTTATTGAAGAGTTAGCCAAGACCAACATTGTCAAGTGACTCTTTTAACAGCATTACTGCACTGAGTTTCTGAAATTTTGTAAAACAATGGCTTTCTTTTATGTATAAAAAAGATAGCAAATTGCTCCTAAAATATATCACTCAGACTCTAGAATGTCAGTGGCATTTTGTACATGTTTTATTATCAAGAATTGATGAAAGTCCTATTGCAGTTTTGCCATATTTCTGTACTTAGTAAGAGTGAAAAATAGATTTTGTTTGCTCTCACTTTGCGTATCAACTTCATTGAAAAGATATGGTAATGCTTTTGATGAGGATAGTGGTGTTTATTTCTTGCTACATTAAATGAAAATCTAGTAATTCCTTGTGGCTGATGTAGTAAGGTGGTCAGTCCAAAAAATAAATCAGCTAAGTGGAGCTAAATTCTTTAATAGAATTTCATGCAGGGAGAAATTCCCCTAAATTAACACTAAATAAACACAGCATTTTCTTTGACTAAAGTTTTAGTAGTGTCATTATAGTTCATCAAGATGGATTTTCAGCTTTCAGCATCAAGTTAACTAGTATCCTTTAAATTCTTCTGTGGTATTTCACATGATTTACAGCAGTAATCTGTGAATGTTGTCTATTTATACAAAGTGTACTTACTCTTCCACTTGAAGTGGCCCTTTGCTTTGTGTCCCTTATGTTGTGCACTTCCCCTGTTCTAGCATTTAGATGCTTCTCTCGCCAAGCAATCAATGCCACTTGGCAGCTTCATTTCTAACCACAGTCTTTACCAGGTGAACTCCAAGACTGATAAGTTGGAATTTTTATAGCTAAGTTGTGCATTATTTTATTTATCTATTGATCTATTTATTTACTGATTATTGTGTTAAGATTGACTTTGGCTGAGGGAGAGGAAATTCCATGAGTGCCGAGTAACAATGGTATGCTGTGATCAATCACATGAAACTGCCTGAAAATTTTGCAATTCTGTCTTCATGGTCTTTGTGTAAATGTCTAGCTTTTTCTGTATGGAATTTTAAAATCCATTCTGAAGTAAAAATGTAAACAAAAAGGTCGCAGGGGCAGTATTTTCTTTCTGGACAATGAAGACTGAGGTTTGGTGGTTCTTGGAGCAAGTATTGCTCTTAGGAACAGGCTTGCAGGTGGTGTCTAGTGTGCCTTTTGGGGACTCTAGTGTTTCTTTTAGAGTACATCAGGGGAATAAAGATTTCGTGAACCTGTCAGCCAGAATTGAATGAAACATTTAAGGAATATTTCATATTTATTATTTATTCTGAAAGTCAAGTGTTCCTGTACTATCAATATGCTATAGAAAAAAAAAAATTGCGTGCCAGGAATGCATTCAGAAAGAAAACCTAGTACAAACCTTAGAAGTTTGTCTGGAGAGTGCATAGAAAAGATGCTTTTCCCCAGATACTGGGATTTAACAACATAAAGTTATTTCACTCTTTAGGAAGGAAAATAAACATCTGAAAGCTATGTAAAAACACTGAAAGGCTACAAGATTTCAGAAAAGGCTGGAGAGTTGAAGAGACTGGTACTATGGACTAGAAATACAATCCTACTTCCCATGGAAAATAGCTCTTAATTTTGCCACTAATTTCTGCATGTTGTAGAATGGCTCAGTTAGTTATCAAAATAGAAGATCCAAAAAGGATCTACCTGACTGGGAATTTTTCATGTAATTCACGAATCTGCCACTGGAAAGAAAAAATAGTTTCCCAGTGTGTAATTTTACACATGCTTAATGTGTTTGGTTGGTATTGGTTTGGAACAGTTATTTTGGTCCTGATCCATAATAATGGCACTCTTATATAAAATATTTCCATTTCTGCCTTTAGTTGTTGATTTTAAACCAAATTTTTAATATTCTAACTGATAGGAGACCCTATACTTGTCAGTGTATGTGTATGTGATTATCTGTAGTCTCTGTAAATTGTGATGTGACCATCATCCAGCTTTGCTATAAATGAATTTAGAAAATAGTTCCATGATAACAATGCACACTTGAAGAAACCTGAAAAAAACACTATTACCCTTACTTAATAGCATAAATATGTTGACTTAAATCTGTGTTTTGAGAAGAATGAGAGGGAATGTTTTGTTGGACTTTGTATTTTCTTTCTTTGAAAGCATTCAGGATGCAGACATTTTAATTTCCAAAATGTGTGCAGAGTTCTTGCGATTCTTTCTTGTAGAACAGACAGATAATTTATTTTTAATTTAGAAATCAGGTCTCATTTTGCTGTAGAGAGGAAAAGAAAACTAAGGGGAGTTTATGTGGCCTCTTGCTGCTGCCCCTGTGACAATCCCCATGATTGCTCTTTCCCATGACAGACAGGTTGTGCTGAAACTTAGCAGAATTTTCTTGGAGCATATATATCCTGCCTCCCCCGCCAGAATGGGGGAGCTTCTGACTGCCCTGGGTTGGTTAGAACGGGAAGTCATGCAGTGTTTCTCATACTGTGAAAAGAAGCCAGTCTAGACCTTTGAGCTGATATTCCCTGGCACAGAGACAGGCGTTCTCCAGCCCATGGCTGGTCCAGATGGAGACAGAAGAACTCTCCATCCCTTCATTGGAATGTATTCCTAATCTCTTCCCTGTCTACGAACTTCTGCTTTTCTGAAGAAACGGTAGGAAGTGAATAATAATATTTATTATAAGCAGTTTAGCATAATTTTAATTAAACAAAAAACTTTATTTTGTATTGATTTGTTACCCTAATGTTTGTTTTAGTATTAAGTTTCACTGTCCTATCTCTTTTTCTTTAATTTTTTCTTTTTTTTGAGAAAACGTAGGTTGTAACAGAAAATATATCACACACACTATTTTTCCATTGAGTATAACTTCAAGCAGATTTCAGTGTAACAGGAAAAACAGCTCAGAGTCCATTTTGAGTTAAATGAATGAAAATAAAAGTCAGAGATAATTTTAACTTTTTCCATTTTCAAACTGATTTTATAGTTGGGAAGGATGCTGAATTCAAATTGTTAGTGCATTTTGGAAATTAATATCTATAATTTTATATAATTTTGGAAACATGCAATTTTAGAAATGAAATTCAATATATTTATTAGCCAGATACTGTAATACTCTTTAACTACAATTAGTGACAATTCAAAGTAGCATGTGAATGTAATTGCAGTAAAATATGACATCTTAATATTCTTGCTTTAAGTTCCTGAGGATCCTGCAAACCACTTTTCTCATGTTGTACTTAACTGACAGTTCTCAGCTCTCTTTTTATTTCTTGAAAGGCAGATAAAAAAATCAGTTGGGTGGAAGGCTACTCTTCTTGGAAGTCTTAAGTCATGTTTTGGACGGTCCTTGCATTTATTACTTTTCAGAATCTGTTTGTCCAACAAGAATTCCAGTGGCAGCTCGAGATGAAAAAGGATTTGACATTCTTGTAGGATTAGGTGTGAAGAAAAAAGTTAAAAAGAGAATTCAAATATCAACCACTAATGCAAAAGCTTATGAAGTAACCTCACGTGTTGACCTCTCAGAATTAACAAGGTATTGAATTTTATAAATATGCTTCTATATTCAGTAAGATTTTTTTTGTTCCTTTAAATGAGAAGGACTTATTTTAGGATTTATATGAATGTTCAAGTACTGTCTTGTTTTTTCCACCCTTCCCCCTTATTTAGGAATGTGTTTCCAGAAGGTCTTCCTCCATCCTATGTGTTTGTTTCCACTCAGAGATTTAAAGTAAAAAAGACATGGGATTTGTGGAGAATCCTGAGTCTAGATAAGAGACCACAGATAGCAGTCACTGTTAATGGAGAAGAGAAAACATTATCATTCACTACAACAAGTTTAATAAATGGTACACAAGTTATTACATTTGCTGCACCTCATGTAAAGGTAAGGGGTATGTCACTATCATGCTGGAATACTTCTTTAAGTACACTTTGTTCCACTATTACCCTCTTTGAGCAAACCAGTTTTATTGTTTTCTAGTACAATCTGAAGGTTGTCTTTCAGTCTTTTTCAGTAACTTCCAGTGGAGTATTCCACTCTTCTAAGAAAGATTGTCTTAGCTGCAGATGAGACAGAGGAATGGAGATTGAATAACCCTATTCTTGCATTTGTAGCAGGAATATGTGCAGCTCAGAGATTGTCCTTCCTGCCACAGGGAGTCTTAATTAAGTGAACAGAGAGGGCTATTTCAGCAGACAGAGACTGGGAAAGATTTGCTGCTGGAACACTTCATGGCCAAGTGGGTTCAACTTTTCTGCGAAGTGGAGGCCTGCATTCAAATCCCCACCCCAAATCAGGCTGAAGGAATTTTAAATATAAATCCTCAGTGAAGGAAGGACTCCTATCCAAGGAATAGGTCTTAACTACTAAGCTTTTTCTAGGTTGAGGCATTTTATTCTTCTGTTACTGGATGGAGAATTTTTGCTTTTTCTTTCCAAACTTCCTCTGCCTTTTAATAGTTATTAGTAGGCAAAATATATTTTTATTATTTTATGAAGCTGTCTTAAACTTGATTTACTGGAAACTGTTAGAAAATTCAGTTTTAAGTCAATACTCTATTTGTATTTATCTATTTCTTGGAGCTGCACAAACAAATCAATCTTAATCATGCAGTCCCAGGTATCAATGAACTTCACCATGATAACACAACTTCTGTGTTTTGTTTGTTTGTTTGCTTTGTTTCTCCATGCCTGCCTTGCTATTATGGAGAACAACAATTTCATAGCTTTTTTAGACCTGTGTGTCTCTAAACACAATATAAATGTCGATACACTCATAATGAACACTTTTCTTTAATAAACCTTTATGATAATTTATCACAAGTACCATTTTTTTTCACCATGATTGATGATCTGAAATGTTTGAGACATTATATCAGTGCTGATAAATAGGCTTCTGGCTGCATATTTTTAACAAATACAAGTTTGAACTTGTTTATGGTCATAGACTAAAAGAAATAAAATCTATGTGAGTTATAAAATAATTCTGAAATAGAGGTTAATTATTACCAATTGTCATATTTTCAATTACAATATTATTTGGGAATGCTTTATTTGCCTATATAGTTTATATGTATGTAAAACCTGCAGCCTTGATCCTCTCAACCATTAACAGCAGTTTGAGTGTTGAACTGCAGTTTTATTGTTATTTAAATTGAAGGCATTTTGTTTAAACAATGTTGTTTTCTTCATTTTTCTTAGACATTGTTTGATGAAGGCTGGCATCAAATTCGTCTCTTGGTAACAGAAGACTTTGTAACTTTGTATATAGATGGCCAAGAAATTGAAACAAAGCCATTGCATCCTGTTTTAGGTATTTACATCAGTGGCCTAACCCAAATAGGGAAGTATTCTGGAAAGGAGGAAACAGTACAGGTAAGCATATGCTAAAACTACAATAATTCAGTAATTCTGTTGTAGGTTAACGTTGCATTGGTGGCTTCTGTTTTCTTGAGCTTATTCTTCTAACTTAGTCTGAAATTTAGTATACAAAATTTAATACTTTAGAGAGAGTAAAAATGGTCAGCAGCACTTAGTGCAGGTGATCTATCCTGTGACATGGATGCTTAACTGGTCTCATTGATTCCAAGGACAAATTTGATGCAACATGGTTGCCTGAATTCGGGAAACAGTGTCTCAAAGTAAGGAATTTCCTCTGCTTGACATTTGCATATGTCCTTCCATCAGTGTATGTATGGGTGATCCTGGTAAAAGAGGAAAATTTTGGTCAGGTTTCTTTCTCCTTGCTTTGCAGTCACAATAGTTTATGCTAGAAGAACTGACAGTGGTTTCATTTTGGTTTGGAATGTAGCAACAAAGCAGAATAGCAAAAACTTTTGTTTACCTGATGCCAGTGTTTTTATTCTATGCTTTTTAAATATTTATACTGTATACTAAACACTAAGCATTAGGGATGCCTTCAGAAGCTTCACCAGAATTTACTAATCTTATATCTAATATGAGCATGTCTGTGTAGAAGCATCTTCCCAGGTCTGTCAAGGTAAAAAGAAAGAGGTTGGGCTTGCCTGTGTTATTAACTTGTTTCCTCAATGATATTGGCAGCCAGTGTAGTTCACGCTGCATGTGTTTGGATTAATTCCCAGGGAGTATGGATGATGATTTCTGTTATTTAAAAAAAAAATCATGGATTGATTATTTTATTTAAATAATTCTGTTACAGTATGTTTAATTCGTTGTGCATATTAATCATTGTGAGTAGCCTAAAAATATTTCTGCATAGTTAATTGTTTTTAACAGTGAAAACACAGACCTCTGAAGAGTCTTTTATGTTTTGAATCACAGTTTGATATCCAAAAACTGCGAATCTACTGTGATCCAGAGCAAAATAATCGAGAAACAGTCTGTGAGATCCCAGGATTTGTGAGTATGATAGATGAACTTTTGAGGACTACTTGGTATTTTTTTACAAATCACTGTTTAATGATGACTTAATGAATTTTTAAAATAGATTAAACTACATTGATTCAGCTGGTGCAAATACATGTTTGTTACCTATGCAATATCAAGTGACATGGACCTTTTCTGTTTCAGCCTTATTTTCTCACAAAGTTCTTTACAAGTTGTTTTAGTTTAAGTATTTAATGGTGCATTTTTGATATATATGACTATAGAAGGATCTCAAAATCCTCTCCTAAAATTTCAGATTTTAAACATGATAGAATAATGAAACTTCTAGGTTTTTTTCAGTGTAAAATTCTTTAAATATGACTTTTGAACTTTTCTGACATACTCCTTGCTTCTTGTCAGGTCATTTAATCGGTGAAATTTTGGTATATAATCAGCAAACCTGTATTTCTAATGTATTTAGAAATACATTAGAAATACCTCCCATTAGAAATATCTATGCTGAGATCTAAGATAAATATCGCATTATCTGAAATATTGCCATGATTTCAAGAAATATGTTAAGTACAAGACAGAAATAAAATCAAGACTTTATGATTCATGTACACAATTAGCAAGTTTATGGGCACCCTTTGCCCTCTCTTGGTCTTCTTACAGTTAATTATGCAAAGCAATGTAAGACATACACAAACAGATTTTTTAAACCAGTCATGACTTAAGATTTAAGCTTTCAGTTCCCATCTCAAAGCATAAGGAAGAGATTGATTTAAACATAGAAATTGAAAATAATTTTGCTTGGTGGCTAAAACAAACTGAGCTAAAGATTATCAGCTGCCAGTGTCTTACTATGTAGACCCACATTCCTCATGTTGTGATTAGATTTATTATCATTTGGCTGGTTTGACAATAGAACCATTGAATCTCCAGCATCCAGATTTTCGTTTTTGTCAGACTGGCACATATTGCCAGCTAGTCTGTTTTTCTTCTTTTTCTTTGGGACCAGTGTGTCTTATTGCATCCTTATCAGGGCCTTTTTAACTTTCAATCAAGCAGCAGGTAGGTGAATGGATTATTAACTGTTCTGAGCTCTGACTCTGTGTGTCAAGAACTAACAGCTGCAGGAATACTTCTGTAAAATTAGCTTTGAATCTTGAAGAAAATAAAGTATTTATTTAACTATTATTTAACTGCACCACATATCTTTTTGTTCTTTAAAAATTAAAAGTAGGATATGAAAAGTAATCAAATGAAAAATATTTTGCACAAAGAAAGCAAACATGAAAAAGTCTTTCATAGCTTATGTTCTCTGCAATTTATCAAGGAGTTGAAGCCAAAAGATTGTTTTTTGCCATGTTAGTTTCACTGTCTGTTTTTGTAAAATAAATTTGGACTTTGCCCATGAAATTCTGGACTCCTTCAGAAAATAAAAATGTTGGATGATCTTCAAGGAGGAATATGTGGTTTGTGGTTGTATTCTGTCAGAGTGTGGTTGTGTCAGAGTTCCTGAAATAAGCAGAGGCTTTATGTACTAATTACAGACCAAATTAATTCCCTTTCCCAGAGATACCTAGCTGCATAGTAATTTTAAGCTCCTTCTATGGTCTGTGGAAAATGAAAACTTTCTCTAGGGTTTGCTCAAGCTGAAAATTCAATACAGAGGAAGCTTTCTGTGTCCACAGAATGTGTATGAAATCTGCAGTGAGTATATGCATTGGAATACTCCTGTGGACAGTGTGGCCAATGGTGGCTATTAAACTATTAAGACAGAAAATTTCATGGTTGCTCTGCTGAAGTATTTGGGGTTGGATTGTTGTGTGGTGTTGCAGATACTGGAACAAAAAACAATTGATAGCAGAGTCTAATGCAGTCACAGGAAAGCAAGAAAAAGCCAGTCTTGCCTCTGTGCTGCTCTGTGTTTCCCCAGATGCTGGATTCAGGCAGAGAACAGAGATTTCAGAAATATTTTGGTACATTCTCTGACATGAATGAACAAGCACAGCATATTTTTGATGAGAAGTTACTTTTGGTAAAAGGTTTGAACCAAATCTAAACATTTAGTGTGTAAATGCTGACATGGTTTAGTATTATTTCTGTCATTATCTTTTAAAAATTGCTACTGATAACTCCCATTGGCAGACCCTTAAAAACAGTTAACTAAATTAATTTCATATGCATTGATAGCAGCTGCACATAAGTCTCAGAAAGTCTAAAAATTTTAATTATAATTTCTTGACTGTTACAGCTTAGGAGTTATGATTGGTTTTGATTGTGTTTCCAAATGAATGGATTTTCTTTTTAGAAATATTGCTGTACTCTTAAACTGTGTTTCTTCTTGTTTCAGAATGGAGAGGTAGGCTCAATCCTAAACTACTCAAACTCATTTTAAGGTAGTATTTGTGTTTTTATAAGCTTCTTAATATTCTAGGTAATATACACTTTGTTTTCAAAAGGGGACAGAGATATGCTAAGCTTAAGAGTGATGGACTTCCTGTGCTTGAACTCCAGTCAGTAGACAAAAATACTTTTTATGAAAATCACGTTTATTAGAATAACTGGTCTGATGTTTTTCCCCAGTTCAATTCAGTTGCTGCTGTTTGCAGGGGGGTGGGGGATATGCACAGGGAATAATGCAGCTGTTACCTGCATTGTGCTTATGGGAACTCCCTGAACAGGAGCTTTTCTGAAGACTTAACATGACAACTTTCCTAACCTTACCTGTAACTCCCAACCTTGTACCAATGCAAAGGAAACATGGGTTTGTGTTTTGGTCAATCATTTGATCCCGAGAAAGAATTCTAGTCAAGAAACGTCTTAAAAGACGTTTCTAGAAAATAGAATACATTTCTAGATGTATTCTAGAAAATATGGGTAAAATGCTATGGAAAGTTTTAGATAAGAAACATTTTTTTTTTTAGCTTGGATTCTTAAATTTTTGCCTTTCCATAGGTCTAAGAACTTGTTGAGTTAGGGTTGATGAGTAAAAAGCAACTTCCTGAATCTAACTTCAACATATAGATTTAGTACAGATGTGCCTGTAATAGATTTGATTTAGTAGCTTGCCCTTTGCCTGCCTGAGTAAAGCACTGAGGTTTCATGTGGGGCTTAATGGTGAGAAGTAAATATCACAAAAAAAGAAATAAATTCTAGAGGGTTATGCAATCAGCCAAGGTTTAGTGTTTAGTGCTGCAGGGAGCATGGTTTGGAGGAGGTCACCTAGTGGTCTTTGCAGGATGGGCACTCTTGGGACCAGGACTAGTGACCTCTAGGAGTCAGTGGTAGCAGCTGTGTCCTGCCTCCCCTCAAGTAGCTTCACAGTAGGAACACATGCCTAAAACACAGGAGACTTGGGGTTTATCTTCTTTGCTGGCTTGCTACACAGGATAGTATGCCAGTGGTTGGGATCATTATGCTATACATATTATGTATTACATCATTTTACACATCCTTTAATTAAGTTGTTGTATTTGAGAATTGGTCACACTTTAAATTATGATTATAGATTAGCTAGGACAAGCATCTTTCATGTTGCAAGATTTAAAATTTTCAATCTATTTGACAAAATATTTGTGCAAAAGCAAAGTTGCAGGTATCAGCCCAATATAAGTATTTACTTTTAAAATTTTTATTCTGGATAAAATTATTCTGTGCATGAAAAGTAGTTGGAGGGCAATATTCAGATAAGCAGAAGTTCCAAGGGAGTGGATGCCAAGACCTAAGTGAAAGGCAGCCTAAAGAAGGTCAGCTTCACTTAGTGTTCCAGTGTGTTTGTTGGCTGCCTTTGGCATATGTGCTGATGGCTGTTTTCACTCTTGGTAGTGCATGAATGGTCCCAGTGATGTAGGCTCAACACCTGCCCCCTGCATATGCCCACCAGGAAAGCAAGGACCTCCAGGCCCCAAAGTAAGTCTCTGTTCTGTCTTGTTGAGTGTATATGACCTGTGTTTCCCTGCTACTCCTCAGCAAACGATGTTGCACTGTTAACTGTTTGAGGATGAAATGGTTTTCTAACCCGATGGTTTTCAAAACCTAATGGTTTTCTAAAATCTTTTAATGGAGAGAGGGGTTTTACTAGATGCTTATTGGGAGGAAAGGAGGTCACATTAGCTGTGCTGTTATCCTCCTTTCTGAGCTGATGAAGAACTAAAATGAGAACTTGCCTTGAGATGCAGAAGTCTCACATGGCAAACTCAAATCCCCAGTATTTGCTTTATTATCTTTCTCAATAACTGTGCTAAGCAGCGTTTACAGAAGTATTTGTAGCACAGACAAGAAAAACCCAAATCACTCATCTTTCATTAAGCAAATGAATAACAACCTTCTCTGCTGTCATCATAAAATAGGTTACAGTATGCTGTAGCTACCTCAAATTAAACGGCTTCTTGATACAGTGGAAAAGGAATTGAAATCTGCAGCACAGAGATCATCATTATTGTTTCATGTAGTAGAACTTCTGTCGTCTTTTACCTTTTTAAATTTTCTTTAGAGAAAAAAAGAGGGAGAGAGAATGAAGTATTTATAAGTTTAAAAGAATTGAAAACCACTTCCTGGGGATGTATTACATCCTGGGGATGACCTATACCTATTGCCTTATGTGCAATTTTTCATCTGCAATGCACTGTAATATTGTTTGGGGATAATTGGATAATACAGGTGACAAGATGGTGCCTAAGACAAAAGGCTGCAGAAAGTGAAAAGGAAGCCAATTTATGGTTGAATAGATTATTTCAATTATAATATTTATAATATTTATTAACCTTTGAATACTGGACTCTAGACCCATATGGATTTAAAATTAATTTTTGTGTAGTACATATTAATAGTAGATATTAATGGAGTACAATACATTGAATTAAATCAAAGTGATTTCAAAATACAAGTAACTGATATTTTAAGCTTCTCAAGTTAAAAGCATAAAATTTCACAGTAAATTGGTATATTTGAAAGCAAATTTATTTTTTCTCAAATCCCAAACCTGGACTTCTTAATTTGGACAACAGTAATTCTAAGTAACTTATTACTATTTTAGCAAATAATAATTGTTATGGTTTTCTAAAAAGTCATTGTGCTACAATCTCTTGCACTTAAGCATTACATTTCTGTGTTTATATGTGAAATGATGTTTTTTCACAGCCACATTGAAAGCTAGTTTCCTGTTTCCCTTTGAATGTCCTTCCTATTTATAACAATTCTGCAGTTGAAAGTGACCTCCAGGTCTGTTGATGGTTCAGGCTGAAGAAATAAGTACCTGCTTAACATCCCTGCAGAAGTAAAATGGTTTAGAGATCAAGTCTTATTGCATTTTGCTGAGTTCAAATCAAAGCTGTTAGTAAAGAGAAAGTCAATACTCTAGGAGGATATATTGAGTAGGATGTTAAGTTCCTGCTTTCTCACCATAAACATGAAGCCTTGGCAAGCAACTTTTCATTTACTTTAATCTGATTGTAACAGTGATTATCAAAGGACTTTTAAGAGGAAATCTAAAAGACATCTTTTTCAACAGCAATTGGTGTGTGGAGAGGAGTTTATTATTTTGCAGGTTTTAATCCTGGCTCTTGTCTTTTTGTGCTTTTATCTTAAGAATTAGGCTCAGCTAAAGCAAGTGAGAGATTTCTTCAGAAAAGAACTACTTCATCAATGAAGTTTTATTAAAGTTTCTTTCATCTATTTGATAAAAAGTGTATCTATTTCCTTTCATTAAAGTGCTAAAACACTAGAAAGCTTTTAAGTTGATGAGTCAAACTTGTGCTGTAACCAAGTGTGGATTCACTTATCCAAGTAATACACAAGGAGTTGGGGAGAATTTTCCCCCTGCAAAACCAGTTCTTTTTCACTGTGGAAATTGCTCCTCAATAGTAGGTCTCTGGACTTGCAGACCGTTTTGTGGGATGTGTTAGGGCTATGGTTTCTTGTGCTCATTTGAAAATACTCTTACAATTTTAAAATGCTTGTAAATTTTGTGTGTTCACTCTTTGCTTCTCCATAGGGTGACCCTGGGCAGCCTGGGAATCATGGTTATCCTGGTCTGCCTGGTCCAGATGGTAAGCCTGTGAGTACTAAAAACTTAGTCATATATTGTAAATGTAAAACTAACAGGAGGAAAGACATGGAACACTGATACCACATTTTTGAAATTTAGATAATTTTGTCTCCATTCTCTGAAACTGTGAATGTCATTTAACTGTATGTACCTGTTGTATGAATATGGCAATCATATTATTTCTGTTTCAAGGTAAATTACTTTAAGTATTAGAGCTGTGTACTGTTGTAAAGCAGAGAACAGGCTATGAGTGCTTCTGTTGGTCTTTGCATTACTTTGCAGCAGTTATTTTACTACATTTAGTCTTTACTCCTTAAGAATTTGTTCACTAGAAAGCACTTCGGGTCACCTGAAATCCTATCCATTTTTTTTAGGGCTTGCTCCATGGTTCATAAAATTTCTTTGTAGGCTGCCTCAAGTAGTCTATTAAAACATGTAGATCTGCATGTAAAATTTTTAAAAAATAGATATTTTTAGTTCCACACTGGTTCATTTAACTGTGATAATTCTATTTGTAAGTAGAGTTAGTTTAACAGAAAGAAAATAGTTGCTGAAACCAAAGAAATGTAATAGTTTCTAAAAGTTGGAAATGTCCCTCTTTTAAAATACGGGACTTGTTATATTGAAACCTGAGCATGCTAACCCTGATGGTCCAGATGAGCAGTGCATACATGAATTTTTCATCAGTCCCACAAGTAAATATGCTCATTATACCTGTGATATAAAATGTTTTTATACTTTTGCTCTTAAACAGCTTTTGATAGCTATTAAATTCAGGGGTTTTTGAACCAGAGTTAGAGAACACAATCGAAATTGAAACTATCGGTGCTTTAAAGTACTGCATTTTGATTTTAGACAATCCTGAAAATACAGGTTTTAAAGTATTCCAAGATGGGGAAGTCTATTTAATCAGAGCAACCTTTCATATTTGGTGGTGCTTAAGCTTATGAAGTGCAGTTCTGATCTCTTATAAAAGACAAATATACATTGAACATGGAGCTGCATGGGGGAAGGTGTCCATCACATCTGACCACACTGATTTCTGGAAATAGATTTGCAGTATTGATAAGCTTAGCAGAGCTGCCTTTTATCCAGCTAAGTTGGATATTTTGAAAAGTAAAGGGATATCATGTAAACTTTAATGAAAGCAGAATGGACTGGTTATTGGTAGGGAAATGTCTGTTTCTCTTCTTTCTTTTAACAAATAGATTAAAACTTCATTTCTGAAGCATCCACTCAGCTACAACCGTATTGTTTTAGAAACAATTTGTTATGACTCTTAATAAAGAGATTATTAATATCTTAATAATAAAAATATTATTACTATTTAAAAATAGTTTTTATAATTAAGATATTAATAATATATTATTAATATATTATTAATCTCTTAATAATAAAACATTTTTATCTTTTAATAAAAAGATTTCCACTTCAAGGCTGTTTATCCTCCCATAAGCACTAGAATTTGTAACAGCATGAGTAATGAAGGAGAAATACATTGGTACTGTAGACCTACCGTAACTTTGTAATCTGGCAGTTGCAGCTTATTTTTTCCTGCAAATAAGTCTTAATGTGCATTCTCTCAACATAAAAAAGATTAACCAAGTATCTCAGAATGAGAATCAAAAAGCTCCAATACAGGAGAAATTGTATCACACTGCTGAGGAACTTACATTGTGTTTGCAGCTAAATCCTATAGCTTTATTAACTGAAGAATGTTTCTCAAATACCAGTTGTAGTTTTTGTGCTTGTTCTTTGTAAGGACATAATTAGAAACCAACTAGCTCATCTGCAGCTTTGGCCAGTACATTATTTTTCCTTACAGAAGATTCTTGGGTGTATTCCAGGCAACCTTCTAGCTGTGAATGGTGAGAGACCCTTTAGAACCACTGTGCAGGAAAACCAATTCCTCTCTCTGTCTTTTTCTTACTATTTTACTTTTGTATATGCTAATATGACTAGCATGTTTTCTGTGCTGTCAGTAATTTTTCTTGTTTGGGGAAACTTTGCTCATCTGAACCTTTTTAGTTTTATATCTCAGGGAACTCTGAAAAACAAGCTTTTAATTCAGACAGCACCATAGGCTTACAGGTAGTGAGTGGTGTAGTCAGTCTTGTTTAATCAAATGGCTTTTGCATGAAAAGCTTTTCCTGCAAAGTCATTCTTTTCTGTTCCCAAACACATTTTTATGTTCTTCTCTAAAGTCTTTCCAGTTTGCCTATCTGTTATTAATTTTCTTGGAACAGTATAACTGGTCAACAAAATGTTTCTTCCTCTGAGAAGGGGTTTTAGGCATGCATTTATATGAAACTATAAATGAAACTGATTTTAAAGTAAAACAGCTAATAAAATTTAGTTTGTTGTTTGTGGGCTGGCTATATTTTTGTAATACTTAATGTTAGTTTTAGACCAGAAAAATTAAAAACAACCTAATATCTTAAATCTTACCAGAACATAATTATTTACCTGCTGTTATCCAGTAAAATTGTTTACTCTAATATTTGGGGAAGTAAACATAAACATGACTTTTTTTCAGACATTTCTTAAATATTATTTTGATTAGTTTTGTTTAGAGTATCTTTGTTTTTTCTCCTTTGTCACCTCTGTTTATATTTTGATACATACAGAAAAGATCAATTACAAGAACTGTAAAAAAACCTGAAAGTGAGAAGTATACGTAAAGAAAATACATTTTTTTCAATAAAAAATGTAATTTAGAAACTGAAATTATTAAACTGTCTAGTCAAGAATAAAACACTGATAAATAAGTGCAAGGATAAAAGCAATATTTGAATCTCAAATGGAACTAATTTTCATGAACATTATTAATCAGAAAGAAGCAGTTGGAGTGATTGCTGGCCCTGAAAGCACTCAGGAGCCTAACTGTGTGGTCACAAAGCCATTTTTTATTCCAAAGGATACTTTGTATGTACTGGGGAAAAACTCAGTTTAAGGGGAAAATAAATTACCAGAATCTATGCAGTGATCACTTGTGGTTAATAGAGGTGATAGGTTATCAGTCTGTTGACAGAAATTTAAAAAATCCACCCATTTGTCAATTTTGAACTATGCAGCTGGCAAATTTGGACAATTTTTGAGTATTCCATCTAGTTTCACTCATGAAAGTTTGGAACAATTTGCCTGTCTTTACAGTATGTACAAGAAAATAAAATAAGAGATGAGAAAAAAATAAGCAGTTTACAAAAAAAAAATCTGGCGAGACTGACTTTACTGGTACAAGCAGATATGGAGTTCATAAGGTATCAAAAGTCTCACATAATAAGTAATTTTTGATCATTCCAATATATGTTTTAAAAGATTACAGAACATTATTACAGCTGTATTACCTAGAGTTTAATATTTGGTGACCAACTGAAGGCCAAATCTTTTATGATGTACTTACTATAAGAGCAATGATAAGTTATTTCAACTTTTGGAATAAAAATGGGTAATAGTTTCACATACACATAGAATTCCCTGTGCTACTGGATAGATTGCCTGGGATTTAAGTTGTTCTAAACTCTGTATCTACTTTTCTCAGAAAACTTTCATAGACAGAGTTGATAATTCAGCTGTGAAATACTGCTCTCAATTCCAGGAAAAATACATATTCCTCAGTAATACTGTGGCCTTTTTATTGTTAGAGGAGATCTTTCTGCTCTGTTCTCATACAGTCATGTAGAGCTTTTCCTGAGACCTGTAAGTCTGGACTCAGAGCAATGCCTGATGCTGACTTGTGCTGCAGACAGCTGTAGAGTTCAGACAGAAGACCACATCACTACCTGCAGCAGCTGCCAAAGGCAGAGGATATGATAAGGATGAGCATCTAAACAGTGAGCAGGAAGTCAGACTCCCTTGGTATATCATCCTATCTCCCAATAGCCTGAAGAACTTTTAAAGCTTGATTTACATCCTTTTATTTAATGGTCTTGATGGATCTTTTTTTCCTCTGTGCTATTTGAGAACATTGTGTTTAGCTAAAACATTCTGCTAGGGGCTCTGAGTTATGAAGGCCTTGGCAGATGATGGAGTAGCTAATGGAGGAAAATGTAGTGAAATGCAGAAATAATAAACGTGGATACATGTCTACATATTTAAAGCAATTTTTGTTGAGATGTAATGTATTTTATGAAAAGAGTTTGAAGACCGGTCTTGTAATGCTTTATGTAGTTGTGCTTTAAAGATTTTCTGCAAGAAACTACCACAAGAGGTCTGCAGACCTTTCAGAGTATTTCCTAAACACTAAGTTAAATGTTCCTTTTTCAATTGAATTCCATTATGCTTAGTTACATCACCCTAAATAGTTCATTTTACTTAGTGTTTACACAGTCCTTGAATATCTTTAGACCATTACTGTTGATCCCTGGTTCGTTCCTAGCCAAACTCAGCTTGCTTACTTCTCACTTTGTCTTTGCCAAGCAGTCCTGTGTTCATGCCTTTGTTGTTAATGTTGTCCATTGACTCCAAAAGCTTTTCATTATGGGAATGTGCAGTGCAGTTCTCATTGACTTATTCATAATCCTCTGTTTTTATTTTTATTTTAACCTTATCAGACAAGATATGCCTAGGAATGCTGTCTGAACTTTTGTCCTTTAGGTGTGCAAATGCATTGAAGATACAGTGATTCTAACTTTAGTGACTTTCTGTGAATTTCCTTTTGAATCTTCTCTCTTCCAGCTTTCCATTAAAAGAACACGTTGACAATGTGTTTGATTTGTATTGAAATCACATTACAATATTTAGCCCTGAGCTAAATATGCAGTTTTGTAAGCTGAAAAACTTTTCTGCTGTCCTCCATTCATCTTGTAATTTTGAAATTCAGTTCAGCCAGGAAATTGTCCTCTTCTACTTCTTCCCCTGCTGAGTTAGAGGGAGAAGGGAAATTGCATTGCAGAGATCTAAATTATGAAATAAAGTTTTATTTGTATAGAATTATATCCTACAGAAAGTCATAGCAGTTTTTTGTTTTTTTTGAGAAGAAAAAAATGGATCAACTTTTAGAGGCATTTTTTGATTTGATGAATTGTTTCTGCTACCCAGGAGGTCTATAAGCACTCTGGGGATACTATACCATTTACAGTTAAAGCTGATTTTGCTAGAACTGCCTTGAGCACTAAAAGTAAAATGCTTGATAAAGGATCCATGTATGACAGAGACCTAGAATTCTGTTTACTTCTATATTAAACATTACCAGCTGGCTCATCGGGCAATTGCTCAAATGTCTTTTGGGAAGAGGGCACAGCAAGGACTCTCTTGTGTCTAACCCAGCAAATAATTTTAGCTCTGTTTATTATTCAAAGGAAGCTCTGACTGATTTAAAGAAGAAATCAGACAAACACGTTGCCTCCCTTGTACTGAAAGCATTCTATTAGTTCCTTTTACCAGCGTGGAAATAACTCCATGAAATTTTTTTTGCCAGGATTTTAAGCTTGACACACATTTGGAAATAGGATTATTACTTCTCTCAATTCAAATCAAGATCAGATTCTGGGTATTTGAAATTGGATAGCCCATTTAATGGGATTTATCAAACTTAGTTTTGTCTGCCTGCTGAAATGTTTGAACCAAATAGCCTCAGAATATTATAGAACAATTTCTGTTCTTGCTTTATATGTTTTCTTGAAAAAATCCTCTTGGTAGCTCATTTTGTCCACTGAAAGGACATGTTTTTAAATGAGCAGTGCAAAATTCTTATTCTTCAGTAACTTGCCTCTCTTAAAGGATTTTTTAAAGCCCTTGTTAATTTTGCATGAAAACTTGCTATCTTTGCCATACTAATTGGATCAAATCCACCAAAATATAGACATATATTTTGGTTTCTGGAAAGGTTTTCTTGTTCTGCCAATGCTGATTTCTAGCAAAGCATTCCTGAAATTCTCTTTTTAACTCATGAATTATTTAGTATTTCTTTTTGTAGTCTCAGTCATTCAAATTTTTTTTTATTTATATAGACTGTTATATACCTTCAAGTTCATAGCTAAGTGCTTAGTATCAAGAATGGAATTTTATTATGTAGAGATATTATAAAACTAGCTGCATAATGTATTAAAACATACCTTGTTTGTTAAACCTTATTTCTGTAACTGGATAGAAGCCTTTAAAAGTCTTGGCAAGTTTCAGCTATTTTTCTTAAGAGAGAGAGAGAAAAAAAATGTGTCTACATATGTGGATTAATTTTTTTTTTCCAGTGGAAAATAAAACAATATGTTTGTTATGTTTTTTTGTAACAATTCTAGAATGACTAGTTTTAGCTAAAGTCTGGAGACTGAGAACTTCAGCTGCAGATATGAAAGCTTTTGAAAGCTGAAATCTAAATCTCAAATGTATGATTGTCATAGCAGTTGCTAAAATCTGTGACCCAAAATTATAGGGTTGTGACAAAAATTCTTTAACTAAGCAAAATTCTTAAGTAAGCAAGAGGATTGTTTTTTTCTTTTTAAATAGGTGTTTGGAAATTTGTCTGTGTTGCTTTTGAAAAGTCACAAGTCTTGGTTCTTTTCCTAAGGGATATCAGGGATCAGCAGGAACTCCAGGTATCCCAGGAACTCCAGGGGTTCAAGTAAGTTTGTATTTCATTCCTAGAATTTGAATACCTGAGACAAATCCTGCCAAGTCTCACTCAATATCTTGTCTGTCATTGAGAGCTGAGCTGTGGGGAATGAAGAGGACTCAAGGGGTGTCATGGATCAGGGGCCATCCTTGGGTGAATTGCTTTGAAATTCACATGGTTTTGGGGTTTGTAGGTAGGCAGGCTGACTACAAATTGAAGCAGGGCTAGGTAAGGTCTCTAGAAGATGGGCTCAGATGCAGCTTTTTATCCCCATCCAGAAGCCAAACAGTAGTTGCTTCAGTTTTTCTGTGAATCACTAGCAGTGATCTGAAGTCTTGTCGTGGTGATGGATTGTGCACAATTCACAAGCCTAAAGCAAATTTTCACATAAAGCCCAGATTGACAGAGGAGAATTCTTTTTCTTTTTGTATTAATTTAGTAGTTCTGACTGAGACAGTTGTTGGAAACCTGTGCTGTATCATGCTTCTGGCATGATCCTGGCTGAATAGTCAAGGATTTACTCATTTGTGGAATTAAATATCTGAGAGCCTGCTGGGGCCAAGAGCAAGCCTGCAAAATGGCATAGGTGGAGGCTGTCTGATGGGCTGTTGAAGGGGACATCTCTGGGCTCACTTGTTGACAGGCTGTGGTTTTGAACAGGCTAATACAGCTGTGTGACATTATTTTTTTTTTTTTCCCCTGGGGTGGTCCTTGGTTAGAATAAAAAAATGTTTGAGTGTTCCTCAGTCATGGATTAAAATTAAATATCTGAGAGCCTGCTTGAGGCCAAGAGCAAGCCTGCAAAATGGCATATGTGGAGGCTGTCTGATGGGCTGTTGAAGGGGACATCTCTGGGCTCACTTGTTGACAGGCTGTGGTTTTGAACAGGCTAATACAGCTGTGTGACATTCTTTTTTTTTTCCCCCTGGGGTGGTCCTTGGTTAGAATAAAAAAATGTTTGAGTGTTCCTCAGTCATGGATTATAATAGTGTGCCATGTTCATCCCTGCCAGGTACACATTATGCTTTGTTCTGCTTTTGTGTCCAGTCACTGAAATGTTGGAATCAGGCAGCTGACACATTGGTCTCTGGTTTGGTCTCTGGCCCATGTTTGTGTCTAATTCTGTATCAGATTGCATTAGTATTATCAGTATTTGAACTGGTGTACATTTTTTTCTCAATCTAGGGACCTCGTGGCTTGCCCGGTATCAAGGGAGAACCAGGAAAAGATGGGGCAAAGGTAAAAGAAACCAAACCAGAATGATAGATAAAAAGCTTTTACTCGTACTATTTGTAATTTTTGGTTATACAGGTAATAGTATCAGTATTTTCACATGAGTGTTCTGTGATAATTGTTTTCTAAAAGGAAGGATTAAGAATCCTAAATTTAAATTCTGAATCTGGCCCTCTATTTATTAAAGTTTATATAGGCTTTGGCACTGCCAGTAACAACTTTATTTCACTGAATAACATAAACTTAGAAAGAGTATCTTAGTATGGGTACCTGGAAGCACAATACAGACATCTGTCGGAATGGTTTATTTTTAACTCTTTTCACCCTTTTTCTCTTTAAGTGAGTATCCAGATGATTTAGGTAGGAATTCCTGGATGGCACTTTTTATCAGAAAACACTGTCTAACTGAACCCAAAATTTTTTTGTGGAAAATTCTAGCTGAGGTGTAGCCATTAGCTTAGAGATACAGACAGATGTGGAAGCTTATATGTAACTCCTCCTGGTAATCAGGATAAACTTGACTCAGGATCTTATGTAGACACAGTGAATAAACTGCCCATTGGCTGTGGCCTTCTCTCACATTTCTGCCTTCTCTCACATTTCTGCCTTCTCTCACATTTCTGCCCTATGTTTAGAAAAGTTCTAAGCCCATTGTAATGACAATTATTTTGGTTTTGATTCATTAAAACTTCAAAGCCCTTTCTGTAAAACAAGCACTTATTTTCCCAACAGATCTTACAATTTCTTTCTAAAGTTTCAAATAACTAGGTCCTTAAATTCATCGCTGTTCAGCAGAATTCTCAAATTCATGGTTAGAGCTGAAAATTGCTTGTGTGTTCTGTGCTTTATTCATCTCAATCTAATTGATTTTAGAAGTTAATCTAATTAATCAGTAAGTATTGGGCTATGTGTAGAAATTAAGATGCTGCTGATGAAAAACTGTAACTGCCTTGTAGTGTAGGGTTGTGACAGATAGAATATTTCCTGTTGCTCAGTCTAGCCTTGTGTAAAACAAGCCAAGAAATAGGGCTTTCACCACTGCTTTAGAGAACATTTCCATTGTAAAATAGATCTTGACATTAGAATTTTTTTCCTGGAAATTCTGCCCCAATTTTCATCTTTTTATTTCATCCCATTACTTGTTAAGTTTCTGTAGTAGCTAATTTAAAATTGTTTTCATTTCCAAATGTTTTGGTTTATCTAATAATTGAACCACCACTTCTGAGTAGAAATCAAGACTCCACACTTTTTCATTAAGAAGCAATGGATATATGAAGTGTTAATTTTATAACCCCTGCTGATTTTAAACTCCATTCCATTGTCTGCTTTTAATATTTATTTGTTGAGAGATATTGTGATAACATTAACCCACAAGCTGTCATTCCTGTGGTCATGTTCCTGCCTACTGCAAATATATGACAGACCTTTCCAAATCTGCTTAGGCATGAATGGCTTTGATAAACAGCATTGAGACATGTTGTCCTGGTTTAACCCCTGTCTTAGAATTTGAAATACTGAAATGAATATGAAATAACTTTTTAAGCATAGTTTACTATTCCTTCTATCTGATTGAAATATATTAAACAAATTGAAATATATTGTTCAATACAAAGTAGGTATTAACAGAAATAAAGCATTCTGATTGCTCAAAGATTAGCTGTTTTCTCATGTGAAGTAGTCTACTGAACCTTGCAACTAGGATTTTTTTTTTGTTTCAAATCAAGTAGTGACAAGTTTTAATTTAGGATTTCTTTGTTATTATTGCTCAAGGGAGCTTGCAGACAAATTGTCAGTTAAATATCTTCAGCTGCAAATGCAAAAGTTTGGAATTCCTGATACCTGACACCTCTTAGAACAATAAAAAGAAATGGTATTTTGCCTTGTCTTTTCAATTGCTAACTGCTTTTACCTAAGTGGATTATTTAGTTTCTGAAATGAGAACTTATTTGTCAAATTGCCAAAGCTGTTTTATAAGTGTATTTTGTTTTAATTGAGTTTCTTTTGTAGAACAGATACTTAATATCTTATTTTATAATACTCCACTTATCCTCTGAAATGAGAACTCATTTGTCAAATTGCTAAATTTGACAAATTGCTAAATAAACAGCTAAAGCTGTTTTATAAGTGTATTTTGGTTTAATTGAGTTTCTTTTGTAGAACAGATACTTAATATCTTATTTTATAATACTCCACTTATCCAGAGTAAGCTGGTAGGAAATTTTATAAAGTCTTAAATTGCTGCTTTTGAACCTCCATAGGACTTACTAAAAGATTACTGTAAATTTAGTCTAAAATTTAGTGATTAAGGTTTTTAGTTTATGTAATGAATTTTGTTTAAAGATAAAAAATCTCTTATTGGTCATCATACCAATGTTGTGAAGTTGATACTGTGATATATTATGTCTTTCCACTATTTGCTGATCACTTGATCACAAGAATATGAATGTTGTTGTAGTATATCACCACTATTTGAATACAAGGATTTAAAATATGTTTGCTCTTTCAGGGTGACAGTGGACTACCTGGTTTTCCTGGATTACATGGGATGCCAGCACCAAAGGTTGAAATTAAATATTTCTTGTTACAATATTCCTGTGTTGCAGCTTGCCCTGTAGTTCAATATAAAGGGTAAACATGTCTATATACAATACTATTTCAGAGAATTTGATGAATTCCTCAAGATGAATAGATATGAAGGTGATATTTAGGGAAGATATATACCATGGGACTTCATTACATAGATACCAAACAATTGAAACCTTCTGTTATTTAATTTCTGTTTTGTTCTATGGATTTTATATTAACTTGATGTTACTACTTAAAGGATTCTTCATCACAAATAATGTTTAAAAAATTGTATTATTTTCTTGTCAATTTACTTAAGTGACAGACTTTTGAAGAAAAGTTCTGATTTATCACAGTGTCTTTAGTTCATCTGTGCTCCCAAAAACAATTTTCCCCATAGTTTTTGCTCATTTGTGTTAGAACTCAACAGAGTTTACATCTTAGCTTTTCCAAATCCATGTTTTTAACTCTTCAAATAATGTCTTCAGAGAAGTCCAGCCCTTTCCAAGGAGCTGAATTTTCACTTAGGTTCCTGCCTATATTGAAGCAATGAGAATCAGAAAGTGCCTTCTATGGAAAGTAGAAGCCTTAAGCCTGCGAGCTGTGGATTTTCTCACCATCAGTGTTGGGCATTCTGGCCTTCTCCTCTAGGAAAGCTGGGAAAATTCAGGATTTGCATTTAAATCTTGGAGCTCTTTGCCTTCTTTGTGTCTGCTGTACATTTATACTTTATATAGATAAATATATCTTTATGTAACTACTTCTATTTTAAAAATTAATTTGCTCACATACATTTTGTGTAGGGAGAAAGAGGTCCTAAAGGAGATCAAGGAGTGCCAGGAATATATGGAAAAAAGGCAAGTGACTTTATAAACATAAATTAAAGCAAAATGCTATTGGTATCTGTGATGGGGTCACCTAGACTGGATGCCTGGTGCAAACACCCTGGCACCTCTCTCAATCTCCCTTCTCAACAGTACAAGGAAGAAAATAAGATGGAAAAGCTTGATGGTCCAGATAAGAGTGATCACCTGCCAGTTACTGTCACAGGCAAACCAGTGGCTACTTGGGGAAAATTAGTTTAATTTATTGGCAACTGAAATAAGTCTGGATAGTGAGAAAAAAAACCCAAAAAACCAAACAACAAAACCCCCTTCTCCTCCACCCTGCCTTTTCCTAGGCTCAACTTCTCTCCTTCATGGGATAGGAAATGGGGAGCAAGGTTAGGGTGGTGTTTGACAGCTTCTCCCTGCTCTTCCCTCACCCTCCTCCCCTGCACCAGGGCAGGTCCTTCCCATGGGCCACAGGCCTTCAGGGCAAACCTGGCCTTGCACGGATTCTCCATGGGCTGCACCTTGGCTACCACAGCTCCACCATGGCGCCTCCAAAGGCTGCCAGGGAATCTGTGCTCCAGAACTCTCTTCTTGCTGTCTGCGGGGCTGCTACTTTTCACCTCTTTCCTTATTTTGCTGGTGTCATGTTTCTGTCCCTTGTTAAACTCATTCCTGACTCCCTCCCCACCCATGGCTCAGCCCTGCCCTGCAGTGGGTGGCTGGAACCAGCTGTGTCCGGCTGTGTCCGGCTGGAAGTGGCTGTATCCGGCTGGAACTGGCTGGGACCAGACCCTGCAGTGGGTGGCTGGAACCGGCTGGAACCAGCTGTGTCCGGCTGTGTCCGGCTGGAACTGGCTGGGACCGGCTGTGTCCAGCTGGATCCGGCTGTGTCCGGCTGGAAGTGGCTGTATCCGGCTGGAACTGGCTGGGACCAGCTGTGTCCAGCTGGGGCAGCCCCGGCCTCCCCTCACGGAGCCCCCCCATTCCCACTGGGAGCCTGGGCATGGGAACCCCAGGCAACATAATTAATATTTTTCTAACATGCATATTCACAGAAAATGTACTTCTTAATTTACAGCTCAGAAGAATGTTCCGTGCTTTTATTGGATGTATTTACATTCAGTAATGCTAAACTCATGCTCTGCTTCTTTGGATATTTTGAGAACCTTTTCATTCTGCTAATGGATTGGTGTAACTCATTTTCACATAGCACAAAATTTTTTGTAAATATGTTTATGGTGTAACACACCATATACAGGACATATGTAGTAATTGTATTGCAAAAAAGTCTATGTGTTTTAATACAGATGTACATATCACCAAACAAGAGAGAGGGAGACAAGTTAGGGGAGGGAGGAGGGGAGCACGTGAAAGGAGTGAGACTGCTAGTGGATGGGAAGAGAGATGTCTTAATCTGTAATTTAGATAAAACAGACAGTATATTTGGCCATCCACTGTTAACAGCTATATTTTCACCTGGCCTTATATTTTCTTCATGTGTTTATATAACATAGAGTTTTAAGCAATTTGAAAGAGGGTCTGTGTTAGCATTTCTGTAGTTTGAAGCATATTTTTTTAATGTGATGGGGTCGTAGGTATTAATTGACAACTGCCCGAGTTAAGAAAAGTATAGATCTTCTGTAGTTTTTCAAAATAAGAAATAACATACACGAATCATTAGTTAAATATATTGAATTTGCAGCACCTACACTGAGCACTACTTACTTTCCGCTTGCTGTTCTTCTCAGGGTTCAAAAGGAGAGAAGGGTGATACAGGGTTTCCAGGACTGCCTGGGCGATCTGTAAGTTTTCTGAAGACAATTTGTCATCAGCTTTTGCTTGTTAATTTACCTGCTGATTGCTGTTAAATGTTGCCACAGGGAGACCCTGGCAGAAATGGGAAAGATGGATTACCGGGCAGTCCTGGCTTCAAGGTATGTGCAAATGGATATTAATATCTTGATAAAAGTCTTCAATAGCATTGCTTGTGATGCAAACATACCAAATTTATTCTGGAGAGTATTACTGGAAATCAAAAAAATGTTGTTGCTGGGAGATGTGGAAGTTTACTGCAGCAATGAGCAGACTTCATTGTTTTCAACTGTTCTGTGAGCAAAGGAAAAGCTTTTATTAAGAGTATTAGTAATCACTAGAGTTTGTTTATACTTTATCTCTGATATCCTTTTGTGTTTCTCTAACCCTGTTATTCTGTTAAGGAGATTTATATACAAGCATATACTGGAGAAGATAATTGCTTTTGAAGGGAGCTGCAGGAAAATTAGGAGAAAGTACCTTCAGTAATGAATTAATATTTTTGTATGTGTTTTTATTCTCTTCACTATACAGTGCTGTTTGTATTTAATGCAGAACAGTTTTTCAAGTCAACTAAGTATGTGTCTACTGTGAAAAAGGCAATAGGATTTGGTATTTCTATAATGAATTGCAGTTTGTGAGCTTACTGGATGTCTTGCTTGTCAAGTTGTTGCTTGCACTGTTCTAATTTGTGAAAACATAGACTTCAGTAGTATCAGTTAGAAGTCCAAAGGGAAAAGATTTTAATAATATGTGATGTAAATGCTCAATTGAATTCATCTAAAGAAGTTTTTCAACAGCAGCTTTGTTCCTATATTTCTTTAATAATAGTGAAATTATCTAGGGCTGCTCAAGATTAATGTTACTTCAAGGTCCAAAAATACAAAAATCTGAGTGCATTTTGAATTTTAAATTCATATTGCTGTATTGGGAGATCTGAATCTTCTATTTTGTGAGCATGCTTGTCTAGTGCAGTTGGGGATGCAGCTGGCATATCTGTCACGTCTGCTGCAGCAGGGACACATGACACAAGACCTGTGAGATACCTAAAATCTTTCAGGCAGCAGCTGTCAGTGATGTGGATCCAGAGTAATGCCAGTGGAGTCTGGAGAGTAATTCAGCTCAGAGAAGGCAGACTCATAGGTGTCAGTTTAGTTGAGCACAAAAAAAGCCCCTGGTGCATTTGAAATGCATTAGTGTCCAAAACATTCTCAGGGAGCTAAAAAATGTAACATAAGTCCTATGGAAAGCCAGTGCCTTTCAGGAGCTGGAGTAGACAAGATACCATGGGGCATCTCAAATGTGACCAGATGTCTGTGTGTGAGCAGTGGGATTCAACTCCTGGTGTCTCATCAGCTGAATCAATCCTCCATCAGTTGTCCAGACTAGACTTGTGATATGAGCTTGGTTACCTTCAGGAATTTATTTCAAATGAATCCTCTCTTATTTTATATACATATGTGTGTATATATATATGTATATATATATGTGTGTGTATATATATATATATATATGTATATGTGTGTGTGTGTGTATGCACACACATCCATGGATATCATTGCTAAGTTGGAGGAGAAATTTCTTCTCTGGTACTTCAGAACATAGGAAAAAATTAGATATTTGATTTTTTTTCTTCTCTGGTATTTGATAACATGGACATGTAATAGTCACAATTAACATTAACATAAAATTTTAACTATCACTGGTGGCAATTTAGAGTGAAGCATGCTAAAGCATGATTTTGGAGAGTACTTTCATATGTTTTATGCTTGTAAGAAACATACAGAGAATTCAGTATATTGTGTGAATGTGTGTACATTTAAACTGAAAGACATTTTCTGGACTATTTTCATTATTGTAGTACCAAAAATATGATGTGCTCATTAGATTCTATTAATTTTATAATACAATAGTTAATAGAAGCCATATTTTTCATTCAAACATTTTGTTAGCCTGACTTCAACATCTGCTTGCTATAAAACATTGCTTCATTCTGGGTCTGTAATCAAATTCAGAACAGTAAAAAACAGGCTGTCTTTGAAGGAAATTTCTGTTGGAGCTTTCCTGGTTTTTTACAATATTCATTTTGGGAAAGAATGTGGAAAAAGCATGGCTGGAAACCCAGATGCTAGCCATTGTTGCTTGAAGTTCAGCTCTTATAATTTTAAGTTAATTAGTGCCAGATTATTTTATACATGTGTGTGTATCTATCTATCTACATCTATACCTATATCTTCGCCTTGTTTATGTGCTTTTATTTCTGGAATTATTCAGATTTTCAGAATATTTCAGTATCATACATACTTGGATAAATATTTGATCATTTTTTGTATTGCTGTATTCTGAAGTACTTTGAAATATTTTTTCATACTATTATTTATACTAACAATTAGACAGTAACAGTCTGTTATTGTTTTATGCTTTTTTTTTGTACCAGAGATTGCTGTTCTGAGTGAACAGAAAATTTTCTCTCATCTCTTTTTGCAAGTTGTTTGACAGCTGTCAGACACAGCATGAGGGACTGTTGGATTGATGGCACTTCTTGCTGTGTATTAATCTGTTAAGAGATGTTTGTTTGGTGAAGTATCAATGTGTATTGCTTTGAAATTTTACTTAGATTAAAATATAATTTACTATTTTAAAAAAAATTATTGTGCAAGTAAGGTTGTTTTCTTAAGACTTTTTTTATTTTAAAGGGAGAAGTTGGGCAGCCTGGGTCTCCAGGCCCCGAAGGACATCGAGGAGAGCCTGTAAGTGATTAAATTGCTGACATATCCTTGTGTACTGATTTGTTGGTTTTGTTATGTTTTGACTTATTTTATTTATTTTTTAGTTAATAGCTATTACACTTCACGTTTAATTTATGTTGATTCAAATTGGTTGATATGTACATTTTTTAAAAAATGCTTGTTTATTTTCTGCTGTTTGTCTTTAAATTTGATTTAATTAAAAGAAAGGAAAAAGCCCTTAAAGTCAGACATGCCTTAAAAGAAAAGATTCTTCACCATATCACTATTGTATATACTGATATATATGGTATAAAATTGTCTCATGACTTCTGACCTGTTGATGTTGTGGTATATTAATAATTACTTACTCGAGGAAAGATTCTGGATGGATTTGACTCTCATTTCAACTACATGGTGTACCTTCTTTGAAATACTTGTTAATCACACTTTTAAAGTCTCTTTTTTCACTATGTACTACTGCCTTTCCTTTGCCCAGTTTTACTGGCCTTTTACTTCCTTGCATCTTCTTACACCATATTATCTGCATCTCTGTGCTTCTTTCTTCTCTGGGGACTTTGCTGTTTCATTTTTGCTTTGCTTCTTTCCAAAGACATTGTTCCTCTACTGGTATTTGGGAAGCTCATTTTACCTCCCCTTAATAACTGATCGCCAGGCTTTGTCCTTCCTTGTTTCCTCGTTGTCCTCCTTTGTTCCTCCTTGTTTCCTTCCAGGCTGCTTGAAGCAGATGAGCCAAGATAGCAGCTTTGAGTGCTGAGAGACAGCCAGCTGTCATCAGACCATCAGCAATGCTTCTGCAGGCCAAGAGCAGTAAACAGAGCTCAGTTGGTGGAGCACTGCCTTACAGAGGAATTGCCTTCTGAATTACATTTAGAGTTGTAAGATAAAGAGATACAGCTTTATACAGTCAGAAATTTTGTGGTCCTGAATGTAATAGGAGGTAGTTTGAGTTACAGGATCTGAAATGTGATAGAAGGTTTTACTAATGAGGAATTGGAAATAACACTTCTGGCAGAAAAATTCTGAAAGTTTTTCATTTACATTTTTATATATTCTGCTAAACCTTCTCAGACATTTTGAGTAGACTGCAAAACACTGAGAAATCATGCCCAAGGGACTTTCTTCCCACTTGTCTGGCTTAAGTGAAAAATGCACATAATTACTCCGTTGGCTTTATTTTTCCTCTTTTTCTGCCCCAAATAACTGTGAGGTGTTTTAACCTCTTACAGTCTGTGGTGTCTCCATATGTAAGAAAGACTGAATGTTAATTAAATATCATAAAATATAACTGAAGGGATTTTGGTTTATTGTAAGTTGGTGCACTTTAAATGTGTTGAGATAAAAGTGAGTTCTATTATTGTCCCTTGCCTTGGTTTGTCTCTTTTCATTTTTACAAAAGAAATGTTAGTTGGTCATTGTGATTTTAAAAAAAATTAATCTAAGAAATGGAAGGAAAAGGGCACTTCTGACCTAGAGAAAACGAAATATTTACTACTTTAACAGCTGTTGTTCTAGTGTGATGGCTTTGTTAAGCATGAACTGTATCTACTACTGAAATGGATTTTGGTTTAAAGTTAATATAAATTATAATATAAATTATAATATAAATTATATCTATAATATAACATTCACAATGTAACATTTTAAACAGTAATGTAAACCCATCACTAAAGTCCCATAATTTTGCTTTAAAGGGAAATGAAGTGGATTTAAGACATTAAAAGTAATAAGAAGTCCTTTTAAATCACCGCAAAGTACTATAATATATACATAATATATATATTCCAAAACCCCTGCCCATCTGCCTCTGTTGCTCATGTTGCACCATCCTGCATGACCAACACAGCACTCCCATCTATTTAGAGCCTGGAGGAGGAGCAAAAAGCAGCATTTCTGCAGCTCAGTGAAGAAATGTTGAGGTGAAAATGTGTGTTTGGGTTGTGGAAAATAAAAGCTATCCTCAGCTGTGAGGTATACAGGCTCCTCTATTCAAGTAGAGGGTAATTGGCTTTCACCTGTTGGAAAGTGAGCTCGATTTTGGGCACTGTGGGTGATGTCTTGTGCAACCTACTGCTTGTGTTGTTTCTGTTGTTCCCCCAATGTATATTTACAGTACAATGTGTAAGTGCCTTCTCTCGGCTCCCCTTCTGTGGAATTCAGTGTTAAAGTCTTGGGTGGGACACCCTTATAGTTAGGGCACTGACGTGGAAGAGAGGGATTTATTTGTGCTGTGCCATCCCTGGCACAGCCAAATAGGCTGCCTAAGCACAAGACAAGCCTTGGATGATACAGTTGAAGCTGGATGTCTTTATATCATAACCAGCCACATGCAGCTGTGGCCCTGGGATGGCTCAGCAGATTGTGTGGATACCCCACCCACACAAACAGACATGCAGACAGTCTTTATTTCTTTCATTCAGCCACATTAGTGTTAGACATGGCTTAATGTGTTAAGTTGATGATTTAAAAAATAGTCCTTTTATGTTCACTCTTGCTTTAGCAAATAAAAATAACATGGTTGTGAAATGGATGCATGTTGAGACATCTAAGGAGCAACTGTCTAGAATGGAGAGCACAGGTGAGCTGAACTCCCATTGCCTCCAGCCTTTGATATGTGTGGTTATTTTTTTAGACAGAATACATTCTGGTATATTATTACTCTTATTAATCCCCCAAGTTACAAACAGAAAAAGTAGGTTCTAAAGATAAATAAATAATTTCAAGAGATGCGCTTGATTTCTCTCAATAACTTTTTGGATTTCAGTTAAGCAGACTCTGTAGAATAACATGTGACAGTATGGATGCTTGATTTCTCTCAATAAGTATTTGGAACTTCAGTTAAGCAGACTATCCCAGTTCTGCCCACTCTGTAGAATAACATGTGACAGTATGGACAGAATAATTTAGGATTTGGTAAAGGTAGTAATCAAGCTTATTTTCCTGTTGAACAAAAACAGGCCATGCTGTCACTTAAGTAGTTCAGTGGCTAGTCATCTGTCTTACTGATGACGGGCTGTTTTGATAAATACATTGTTTTTAGGGACCAAATGTCTATAGAATAAATAAATATTTATTTGAGCTTAATTTCAGCCTGACTGCCATTTTTAACATAGGTAGGGTTTTTCAGAGTTGGGTTTCAGTGGAAACTCCTTGTGTTTGCAATTATGCAGATGGGAACCCTGAAGTGAGTGCTTGTGGGTAAAGCTGGCAGGACATTTATAGCACTCTTCTAGGCCTCGCATATGCTCTCCTGCCACAAGTAATATGTCTGAGCATTTGCAACTGCTCATGTTTACTCTCCAGAACTCATATTTTTCAGAAATACATCTGCAAACACTTAAAATGGTAGAGTTTTGTCTCAATATTTAGGTCACATCAAAAGACCTCAGATGTGGCCTCATTTGTGCCAGCGTTAGCAGCACAACATGACTTTCAGCTTCTGACCTGACTCCCACGTTATACCTATACCCCTGGTTTGTCTGTTGATCTTTCATAATTGCATCAAGAATGCCAGATATAGATCAATGCATTCTCTGAAAAAATAAATTGTGTTTTATGCTAGGCAATGGTAGCAGAATTCTTTTTGAAACATGTTCAAGATATGCTACAAGATACAACAGAAGTTGCATTGTCTTCATAATGCAGAAAACCTGAAAACAAACTGGTGTAGCCAGGTATCCTGTATATTTGGAATGCAAATATAAAGTTAATGCAATTCTATGGCATCTAATAGCTATGCTGAGATTGATAGAAACAGGAAAAAAAGAAAGAACAATCCTGAAGTAGTAATATAGTAGTATGCAGACAAACTTTGGGTTTTTTTTGTTACTATTATTTTCCTCTCTGTGTCATGTAATGTTTTTCTTGATGCTCCTGATGTTGATGTTATGTTGATTTGTACCAGTTTTAGGTACTAAGATGCCATTTACTCAACATTTGTGTCTTGTATTTGCATTTATATACTAAGTTATGAAGTACTTAGGATAAAAGCTAGCCTAAAACCACTATTGTAGATCTGCACAGTAGACCTCGTGAAAAAAATCCTTTCTGAAAGTGTTACTTTATTTTTTTATCCACCTGTCTGATTATTGAATTTCTAATTTTAATAGCTTCATAGGTTAATGCATAAAGATCCTGTTGTATTTACAGTGCTCAAAAGATCATTTGTTGTGAATTTATTACTTGTGGAAATATTCCATAGAGCACTAAATAATCCTTCAGATTTTGTATCACCTTAAATTAGGCCCTGCTATAAAATAGCACTCTCTGTGTAAATAGTCTATGAAGAAGAAATTATTTCCTGTCAGTTTTTAAGAGAAAAGTGATCAGGATACTCATCAAAGTGGTTAGTGTCTGTCAAAATTTTTAAGTTTCTGATCTGATACTCATACTTTTCTACTAGTTTGAGATGCCTCGATAATAGAACCTGAGCTCCGGTGGCCTGCTTTTAAAAGCTGTCAGCATTACAGTCATGAGGGATGTAAAGCATTTTCTCTATAAATTTTGTGGATCTTGAACACCTGTTTAGTTTTGAAAATTCTGACTTTTACCTGTAAATTAAAACAATAAGTTGTTTTTTGGATGGGATGATTTTTTTTATTCATAAACTGTTGAAACATCTGAAGGGGATGATTTTTGTAGGCATATGCCATGCATCATTATTTCTTTACAAGTAGGTTTGATTAATTGAATGCATTTTTGGTATTGTTTCTTTATTCCTTCTTCTAATATCTAAATTGTTGAGGTAGACAGGGAGAGTGTTGCTGTAGACTTTCTGAGTGCTTGAGCTACGTTACAGATGTAGTTAGTTTTGTTCTCACTTGAGAAAGGGAGAGATGACAGCTTTGACTACACAATACTCCCAGCAATCATTTGTTAATTACATAACAAATTGGCTGTAAGTCCAAACATGTTTTTTAGACTGAATGTAGGTTTTTCTGTCAAGTATAACTTCTAGGTAGCCGTATGTATTTTGGGCAAACTTTATTTCCAACCTAGGTTGT